ATATATATATATATATATATATGAATATGAATATAGTTTTTTTTTTGCATGAAAGTATTTTTAATAGGAGTGAACATGGGTTTGGATCGATCCAAATAAAGATAAGTCAAAATTAATCCAATCGAAAAATTCATATAAGTTTCAATCATTGATTCGAATTGAATTGAAAAAATGCAAATTTAATAAGTTTGGATTAGATTATGGATTTGGTGTGGGAAATCCAACCCAATTTCATCCAATTGATCAATTGTTATTTTTATATTTTTAAAAAATATTTAAACATTTACAATAAAAAAAAGGTTTAGAGTTTGGGTTAAAATCCTAACTAAACTTTCCAGTTATTCTTAATATTATAACACTTTAATCGATTGATACTTTATAGTTCATACACATTTCTGTAATTCTATATTTTTATTTCCTTCGTTTTGTTAGAATTACAGTTAAAGTAAGTAAGGATGAAATATACACACTAAAAGAGGATTGAATAATGTATATACAATAGATGAAGCGCTGGTAAGAGTAATCAATGAACAAGCTATGCCAAAATATGAGCAACCAACCAATACACAACACATTAAAGTTACACCCCCACACTTATTTAGAACCCATTGCCAAAACAATTCCAAGGCTCCTTTAATCTTTAAGGTTAGGGTGAATCATGGTTTTACACTTTAAGGCATATAATGAGCTATATCAAAGAAGGGTAAATAGGCTTAAAGAGGGAACAATTGCATAAATGTGTAAGGTAGGGTTATTTGGCTAGAAGCTTCATAAGAAAGAATGTCTAAATCATATCATTAACGCATATGAGACAAGAAATATCAAAGAGAGTCAAGGCAAAACCTAGAGTAACTAGCATGATGAGTGCAATCACCCAAGAAAAAATATGGCATGGAAAAGATGTTCATCCAACAATTAAGACTCAAAATCTCACAAGGTATATAGTTCTACCATCAATGTTTCAAACTCTAATTTTCCTAATCAACTTTCAAAACCCAAAATGTACAAATGAGTTACTTCATGATGTTCAACCAATCAACAAAAAATTGGTGCACCCTTTCTAAATCCATACACCTACAAATCTAAAGAAAAGCAAGAAAACTTTTCACAATTTTTTTAAAAAAAATTCAAAAATAGAGCACAAAAATATTAAAACAGCAAAAAGATACAGTAAAACAGAACAAAGCAATAAAATACAAAGCTAAACAGAAATAAAAAATAGAAAATTCATACAGTAGAAAAATATATAGAAAAATACATAAACAAAATAAACAAAAACAGATACAGAAACACAAATAAAAATATGAAATAAAAAATAAAATAGAATACAAAAACAGAAACAAAAATCTGAAACGAAATATAGAAATCTGAAACAATAATACAGTAAGCAGAAAACATATAGTATACAAATATAGAAAAACATGAACAGAAAATAAAATATAGAATACAAAGAATCCTGAAAACAAAAAATAGCAAATACAATACAACAAATACAACAATAGAAAACACGTACAGAAAACAAAAACAGCCAACAAAATACTGAATATATAGAATATTGAAAATAGAAAATAGTATACAAAAATAAATTTTTTTTTTTTTTTTTTTAATGCAACTCAACTCAACTCCTTGCACATTAAAATCACAATTTTCCTCAATGAAACAAAACATGCATCACTAAAGACAATTCCAATCAATAACAAGGGAAAAGAAGAGTTTAGAACTCCCTCAAGGTCCAATAAATTGGACATCCGGGAATGTAAGTTTGGCCAAAAAGATGTCCTCCTCAACCTCCTCCACCTTCGAACTCATGAAACTCCTTGAGTTGGTGTCCATTTACCTTGAAAGATTTTTCCAGTAGTCACATCCTAAATTTCTATTGCAACATGGGAAAACACATTAGTTATAACAAAAGGACCGTCCCATCTAGATCTAAGCTTATCGGCTATGAGCTTTAGGCAAGAGTTAAATAAAAGCACTTTTTGGCCTACTTTGAACTCTTTTCCCAAAATCATATTATCATGAAATTTTTTTACTTTTTCTTTGTAAAATTTGGAGTTCTCATAAGCCACCAAGTGAAACTCCTTTAGTTTCTGTAATTGAAGCTAGATTACAAGAGATATGAAAGGGACCCATGAAATAAATACCCCAAACATAAAATACCTCACAGAAT